CCATATACTAAACTGCAGCCAAATTCTTCAAGTAAATATGAATTAAAACCCTATAATAAATGCTAATTAAAAAATCTAGCCAATTAGAAACCAAATGTGCTATCTAGATTTATTATAAAGTAACACTCAGTTAATTGAGCAAGTTAGTAATGACGTATCATAAGCGTTTATGACAGTCGTTAAACGACTATATAATGGACATTCAAATGTCATAAATTAATGAAATAAATTACACAGTTTCAATTAAATGACATTTTGATCATTTCCCCAGGCGCCTCTGAAATTCTTGCTTAATTAACTTATTGAACGTTATAGCTGACTTAAGCTCTCAATAACGGTATATTTTACCGAATATCTCGTTCGAAAATTAGATAGGTATTTTAAAAATAATGACTTTATAATTAATGATATTGTACAGTAATAGCCCTTGATTTCTATCTTCTCCCTCTCCCGGTGTATTATTATAATACATACTATTATTTGATGCGTGTTTGTCTGTGTATGAATGTATGTTTGTTTGTTACTCCTTCTCGCTGAAACGGCTGGATAGATTTAGATAAAAATTTGTATAAAGATAGACTATGATCTTGAAAAACACATAGGCTACTGTTAGTATAATATAATAGAATAAATTATAATTCATAATTAACCATTTTTTATCATTTAATCAATATTTATATTTTATGCAGATGAATAAAATTCATTTATCTATTTGTAATGTCAAAATAACAACTTTTTAATAAATGCATATAGACGTTTAAACGGTACTCAATATGTATAAGAAAAATACTATTTTAATATTTTAATCTATCTGAATGTCTGTCTCTTTGTTCCGACTAATCACCGAAACGGTCGGATTTTGACAAGGCTTTCACTGACAGATAGCTGATGTTATAAGGAGTAACTCAAGGTACTTTTATTTTAGAAAAAAAAATTAGGATTCCGCTGTAAAAAATAATACGCACCTAGGGACGCAACCGCTAATTATAAATTCAAAAGGCACTCAAGCTTAGCAAAGTCACTAAATATATATCGTTTTAATAAAACCCTATATGATACATCTCCAGCTCTGGAAAAGCCAAAGAGTTAATTACAAATGCAAAATGTCACCAATATTGCTTAATTAGAATTTCGATATCGTAAACTTTGCGTCGGGTCAAAGGATGGAGCAAAGTAAACAGGCAACCTTTTCAAAATTTATATTAAAGATTAGATTAATTTATAAAGGTGAATATACATGAGAGTAAATTTTATTAACAAATGCTTAATCCTTATTTTAACTAATAGCAAAATCTGTGGGTCTGTTTGTTCGACAGTTTAATGTATTTTATCATTTTAAATAAATCATTTTTTCTGTGTTTTTTTTTTCAACATTTTATTTACTATATATATGTATATTGACTTTTTGTTCTTAATTTTCCGAATGCTTTACAGCAAACATGGGTCACGAGAGGAACTGAGGTTTTTGATGTCTCAAGAGTCCTATTTCATACAGTTGTCTACCCACATTTAAAAATAATATGGAAAAAAATGCACAGAAGTATATTTTTAATTAAAAAAAAATAATAAATGATTGTATTTAGGATTTAAGTAGCAGTTTTTTTTTTGAGCTTTTTTATGTTTTGTTGTTATTTTTATTTTATTTGAGATGGATTCGTGCGTGTACAATTTTAGAATCAAAAGATTCGAATCAAAGGATTATAATATTTATACAGCATAAAATATTCATTTCATTCAGGGCTATTTTTATTACACAGCAAGAGCGTAATAAAAACGAGAGAATGAATATTATGTAAAATATAGTTCACATTTTATTTAAATCAACATACTTCCTAAAATTTTAGAAAAATACTCTCCTTTCATTTCTTCATATTTAGCGATTTTTAGCAGTCCTTAATCTGCCTTTTCATGTTCACCAAGTCGTGAGAATTAGTAAAAGTCATGGGAATTGGACAAAACTAAATATGAGCTCATATCTTTTGTTTTTTTTTTATATAAACAAAGAAAAAAGTTTCAGTGCCTATATTTTAATTTTTTTTTATTAAGATTCACCAGTGGTAATTACATTATTACAGTAAAAAAATATGCTATTTTACAAAGTTCTTATTGCTAAATGCATTACCTTTTAAGGTGAATACCGCATATTTTAACAGGTTTTTTAAATTTAAAACAATAAATTATTATCTTCTCTTTAAGTAATCGCCCTAAGCATCACGTTTACCTCGTCTCGTTATAGAAGTATTACAAAATTGGGTCAGGCCTATTGGGCTTGACTTCAGGTACTCACACTTTGTTCGAAAGTATTTATTATAATGACGATCATGCTTCGTTCCACGGGTTTGTTTAGAAACTGCTACTTTATTTTGTATGTTAAATATTGCTTTATCTTTTGTATTTTTTTTATTATGAACAAAAATATTTACGTATTTATTAGCAAAACCCGCGGCTTCGCTCGCGCTAAAACTACAAAAAGGTAGTTTTATACAAACTTTCATCCCCTATTTTACCCCCTTATAGGATGAATTTCGAAAAATACTAAAACACGTATTTATTTCATTTTATAGAAGAGCATTAATACCAAGTTTCAAGTAATTTTGATTATAAATACACATTTTTTTTGGATTGTATTATAACGTGTATTCCCGTGGGAATTAGATAATCCTCCGCTTTAAAAAGTATCCTTAGATGTCACTCTCCAGCCCACCAACTATCTCTACACCAAAATTCACGCCAATCCGTCACTCCGTTTGGACGTGAAAGAAGGACTAACAAACAAACAAAAAAAACAATCAAACAAACACACTTTCATATTTATAATATTAGTATAGATATCTGTAATTTTTGCTCTCTATTAATAAAGTATATATGTACTACCTTATAAATAAACCTTATAGAGCCGGTGGTAGGTTTCTCACGGACTTACAGACTAACATTTAATTTAAATTTTAATAATGTAAAAACTGACGATACAAAAGTACTTGTAAAAGTCTATTTGAATAAAGTATAATTTAATTTGATATAATTTTAAAAGATTATGAAACAATAATTTAAAGATCCAAGGCATTATCTTATTCTTTTCAAGATTTTCTAAAGCAAATCTCAATTTTCTATTGATATTGAGATAATGTAAGTAATTATAGATATAATTACCGAACAAGTCGGGTACTCCTAATTTGGACCTTAATTTTTCGCAAGCGGTCAACGTCATCCTCGGGCAAATCTTATTACTAATAGAATATAGTGTGTTACTCCAAATCATCTATGTACTAAACATCATTCAAATTCATTCAGCCATTTCGGCATTAGGTACAAAGTACAAACGTACATACAAACTTTTGCATTTAAAATAATAGTGAGGCTTCGTATTCTTCAATGAAAATGACCCATCTAACTAAAAACCACATTACGAATAAGAGTTTCGCAATACATTCAAGCTCCAACAAAAGAATCGCCGCATAAAGAGTCCGGCACAGTAACATAAATCGACTTGTTTCTTGTAACTTGAGTACCGGCGAGGTATTCTCAAACTTACTAGGTTTGTCTTTTTATTCCCGCACATAGAACATAAATAGATGAATGGGAAGAAATGATATGAGCTTACTATTAATTTTTCTTTTCATTCTTGTCTACAAGCCTTTTTATTACACTAAAAGCAATTACAAATAAACTTACTTACATTATATATACTAGCATTGCCTGCGGCTCCGTCCGCGTTCAGATGACCAAAAACCAAATTCTTAGGTTTTACATATTAGTATACACTTACATTGCAGTTTTTGTATTTTTTCTCAAAAATTAGACATTTTCCCGCGGTACAAAAGTATCCTCTATGTTGATCCGGATAACCAGCTATCACCATACCAAATTTCATGAGAATCCCTCCAGTGGTTCTTTGATTGAATTGATTGAATTTTCTGATGAAATTTGGCACAGAGATAGATTATAGTCTGGAATAGTATACAGGTTACTTGTTACTGCCTCAGTGGTGTAGTGGCTAGCATGTACGGCTGCACACCCGGAGGTCCTGGGTTCGAGTCCCGGGTCGGGCCAAGTTTAGTTATTGCTTCTTTCTGTATAATAAGTCTCAGTAACAGCCCGGAGTTGGGAAGTTGGTGGTGTTTCACCCCCGTACCTCGGAGAGCACGTAAAGCTGTCGGTCCTGCGCCTTAACTCTCACCGGTCGTGTCGCGCAGTCGTCCCACCGGAGTATGAGAGTGACAGGAATAGAGAGTGCACGTTGTGTCTGCGCGTACACTTGTGCACTATAATATCTCCTGCGCAGTTGGCTAATCTCAATGAGATTGACCGCCGTGGCCGGAATCGGCTAGGAGAACATCATCGCTTTTTATCCTGGAAAAATGTACGGTACCCGTGGGATAGATTTGTTTTTGTTATTAACATTACAGATTTACATAATCATCGCTATAATACATATTATAGTATAGATTGGTGTTCTTTTATTTTTATTATTAAAAATATGCCATTTCTATACTGTTCTATGGCGATTTACAATGCGTGTGGCTTGGACACTTGACACCGTGCGCTCTGACCGCTCTAGTGAACAACGCCAAGTCTTTTTATCTCCTTATATGGAAATCATGTCTTAAATGAAAATCTGGTTTGTAATATGCATAGTAGCTAGCTCTTTTGAATGTTAATTGAGTCATCTTGAAAATATTTAAATTTCATGATCATTACTTTATTCTTTACTAGCAATGTACAGTGTATTATTGCATCACACAGGCTTTAAAACGCCATAGATCCAAGAAAACGTTTTATGAGAGGCAGTGAAGTCTACCCTTCTACAAATGAGCTACGCGTTGAAGAATACTTATAAAAATATTGTTAATGAGTGTAGCTTATTTGATAAGTAATAATATGTTAGTAAAGGCAAAAAAAATGTGAAATAAATTTAAAATTGTATAAAAGTGAAAAATGGAAAAATTTTAAGCCAATCAAATGTAATTTTAGTCAATAACAGTGTGTAATTAATTATATTAATGACATCCCGATGGACTTTGGCCTCGGCGGTCAATCTCATTGTGACTAGCCATCTGCGCAGGAGATATTATAGTGCAGCGCGTGTACGCGCAGACACAAGTGCACTCTCTATTCCTGTCACTCTCATACTCTGGCGGGACGACACGAGACACGATCGGAGAGAGTGTCGGTGCAGGAACAACGCGACACGTGCTCTCCGAGGCACAGGGGAGAAACACCGTCAACTTCCCAACTCCAGGCTATTACTGAGACTTACTATACAGAAAGACTAAATAACTAAACTTGGCCCGACCCGGGACTGGAACCCATGACCTCTCGATGTGTAGCCTTATTATCGTTATAATATTTTTTTTGTGGATTAATTTTGATTTTTGTTTGCCGACGTTTCGAATGCATAAAATGAAAATAAATCAGCGAAAAAAAACTAAAATGATAATTTTATTTAAAATAGTATACAATATAAAGAAAACTTCATCAAAGTTGGGTTATTCTATACCGCTGACAAAAAGATTAAAAATAAAAGTGTTTTCGTTTATTATTTATATAACAACATATTTTAGTTCATACTCTATGTCAATACAAGATATTATATAACCTATTCTTAGTATTTTAATAAATCACAGATCAATCCCCCGCCATACTTTAATTATATCAAACTGTAAACAAAATCCCGGATTTAAAAATCGATAATCTTAATAAAGTCCCCTAACAAATAGCAATAAACCAGACGAACTAATAACTATGCAAATCTGTACAAACAGGCGGACACACGTACCTACTTTGTGCCCAATTAATCGGGTCCACTCCCTCAAAATAACGAGCTAATAATCTAAAATAGTCCTAAACACAACTGAATAACAATTAAATTTGTGTATTATGAATATTATTTTAATAAATCATTACGGTTAAACTAAATCGAATTCTGTACCTTCGTTATAAAATTCAATTTGCCATATTACGTTTTCCAAAATTTTCGCCATCAATTGTTTTAATGTAAAATGAACTCTAAAGTTGTAAAGTTAGAGGCTATATTGTTTTGTTTTCAATGATAAAGGGTCGATATCGATAGATTTGAGATGGGTGCATGTAATGAAACGAGTAGATCAGCGGACGCCGCGGGCCATTCGCAATGTACAGTTGAATAGAAAAGTGTCCACATAATTTAAATTTAAAAAAAATCTTAGAACATATATGCTAAAAGTAAATACTGCATGCAGATTTCCTTATAAAACAAAAAAAAAATATAATTTAATTAGTGAAATCTACTAAAAATATAGAAGTCCTCATAGAAGTATAAAAAAATCACAAGAAAAAAGTATCCTTAATTTCCGCATATTATTTTATACAAGGATTTTTTTGCATTGCTATGAGCTGAAGCTATCTTTTTCAAACAATCTCTGACCAAAAAAAAAAGAAAAAAGTGGAAGTACTCGTATAAATAAAATTTACGAAATAGAAAAAAATGATGGTTATACTAAATATTACGTCTATATACTATAGGTATGTTATATATTCAACTTATTTTTAAAAATGAAGGCAGTTCTCTAGGCAGGCAAAGAGACAATGAGTGAGTACGAAACGAAAGGAGGTTGTAAATTAATTATTAAATTCACAAAAAGATTATAAATGTAAAATGATATAGTCTTATCATTAAAATATTTTTAACTTAACGATAATCACTAAAGATAGAAAACGTAGATTAATATAAAATATTTTTAATTCTGTATTCAATACCATTTCCCATTTAATTTGTACTAAAATTTAAATATTGTGACGCTAAGTGTACTTTCAAATAAAACGTAGCCACGTGCGTTCAACAAACATTGCACGTGAGATCAAATTTTATTCGGAACAACTGGATTGGACTTTGTTGCAGTCGTTTATTAAATTGTTCACTGCGTGAAAGGCTAAAAAGTGTAACAACTACAAAACCATAGCTTTAGTTCACTTTTATCTATACTTAATATTATAAAGAGTAAAGATTTTTTGTTTATTTGTTTGTTTGTACCGAATAAGCTCCGCAACTCCTAAGCCGATTTAGATGAAATTTGGTAAGAAGATTAGTTCAGTTTTAGTGTAGTTTTAGTGGAATATATGCTTTGAATAATACACAAAAGAGTTTTTTTCTTTAGAAATAGCTTTAAGGAGCTTTAAAGCTATACTCTTAACGCTATACGCAGAGCTTGCCCTATTTAGACCTAACAGAATTTACTGAATTGTCAACGCCCAAATTAAATTGTTAGAATGCTAAGATTTTGAATGTATTTTTTAAATTTCCACTAATTGGCAATAATGATCTAGATATCTACGAGTAGATGTAAGCAAAAAATCTACAAATATGTTGGGACGTTAACACACACTTGTGTTGTGGATACCAAATAGTTGATACACTAAAAATATATAACTTTAAATACATACATATTATAAATATAAACACCCACGACTGGAGTACAAACATTCGTGCTAATCACACAAATGAATGCCCCCAACGGGACTCGAACCCGCAACCGGCACAGCAAGTACTACAAACAGCCAAACGTGTCGTCAAATGTTAGACCTTTCTTTTTAAACCATAATATTTTTCCTCATTTCTCAATTCATGAAATGACAATTTAAAAAATCAACGAAAGCCAGGGTATATCACTCGCTGGTCAAAAAGGCAAACATGACCCAAATCTAATTAAATTATTCTAAACTTATTAACACTTCTAAGATATATTCTACATAGAACTTTAATTTTCCTATGTCATCATTAATATATGTTCCCTCAATTTAACCGATACTTTAACCCTCGACGAAACGAGCTAAACTAATAATGAAATTACGTCTAACTTCGTAAGCTTTAAAGCAATTACGTCTTAATTGGATGTAAAATCACGAAGGTTAACTATTCCGAGAGTAGAACCTGTTATTATAACACTATTATGTACTTTATAAAGATTATACAATATACGAAAACGTTTATATATGGGGGATATAGTTTAACATAATAAAGTTAAAAGTAAAGACTTGTTCAAGATCTCAGAAAAAAGATGGAGTCCAATTAGATTGTTCATTCTTTTTTTTTCTCAGGCAATAAATGCTAAGTCAATTTTAATGATGCTCTATAATCTTAACACTTGAACAAGTTTTACTTTAATACTTAGATTTACGCCAATATTTGACATTTTAAATAAAATATTCTTTCTCACGAGCGAGAGACTTGGTGTTTTTCCCAAAACTATGATTGTTGAATATGTTGTAAAGTATTCGAAACGTCGGGAACCAAAAATCAAAATAAATCCGAGAAAAAATCTATCTAATCTAATGTTAAAAAATCTAATTTTATTATTTCACTTTATATGTGCTAAGCTTCGATGCGCAAACTTAACTTATATAATGTTAGATATTGTTTCAATTGGGGTCGCGATTCGATTTTGGTAGGGAAAATTCTCAAATATAGATATTTATCCTGGCCTGAATCAGACATAATGCGGAAAATATTACATTACTAGCGACAACAAAAACAAACCTATCCCACGGGAACCATACATTTTCCGGGTCTTTTTCCATTTTAGTATAATCTATATCTGTGCCAAATTTCATCCAGATCCGTTCAGTCGTTCTGGTGTGAAAGAGTAACAAACATCCATACTCACAAACTTTCACATATATAATATTAATACGGATTAACCATCTTTTTGAAATAAATACGTATACTAAAAATCCAAATTTTGTTTTAGTGTTCATCCACTTTCATACCCATTAAACTAAGCTCCACACAAAACGCACGCACCCACAGAGGTCACTAGTAACTACACTAACAAGTATAAAATATTAAGTTTCATCGACCATTCGTTAAGCTCAGTATCACGAGAAATATCGAACTTATAATTTTATTACAACTTCAATGCGATTGTGAATCATTTATCGACCGGGTAACACTAGCTGATACTGCGTGCATTGCCCGTAGGGCTTCATTCATGTCAGTCGGTGTAAAACAGAAATATAGTCTAATCCAATCAGACGTAAGCTTTTATTAATGTTATAAAAAATAGCCACATCCTGCGATCTTGCCTGTGTTTTAATTCTATTTATTCACCTATCTATACATATAATAAAATTGTAACTAAGCCACATGTGTACATTAAATATTTTTTGGAAAATCTTATTGAAATAGACATTATGAATCTATAGTTTTTAGAATTTTTGCCTGTCTGTCTGTTACCGCATCACAGCAAAACTACTGGAGGGATTTGGATGAAATTTAGTATGTCATAGTTGGTTATCCGGGTCAACATATAGGATACTTTTTACCGCAGGAAAATATCTCATTTCTGAGAAAAAATACAAAAACTGGTGAGAATAAAACCACGATGATGCTAAATATATTTTAGCAAGGTAATACACTAATTAAGGCATAAACTATTAAAAATAGCTTATCTTGAAAAAAAATAACAATAGCGCTATTTTATTTGGTTTTTGGTCATCTGCACGTGGGCGGAGCCGCGGGCAATCCTAGTTAAAATATAAAACTTAAAACAGCTCATGTTATCTCGTCTTGAGAAATATTGAATTTTACATACAAATACCTCAAATTATTGGTTCTAAATATCTTACTCTATCTTTATCAATGTGGTATAGACATTTACAGAAAAAGTATTTAACACACCAGGTCTACCTCGTCTCTATTCTGCGTGATCGGTGACATTGGCAACGTATGCTCTACTGGCGGCTTGAAGCCTTTAAAAAAATCTAATCGAATTTGGGTTCGAACCCGCAATATACCGAATAGAAAAAAATGTAAAAACCACACCACAACGTCCGATAATTCACACTATGGGTAATTCATACTATATATTTAACATGAGTTAATAAGGTAAGAATATAAAGACAAGGAAGGAAATGTTAATAAAAAATAGAATTAAAACTATTCTCATAAAGTTGATCACAAAATTTCTTTTGAGTACTGTAAGTAAAGGTCCTATATAAGCAAACTAGTAGTAGCATTTTGCTATTATTTTAATTTTTTTCATTAAAAGATAAAAAGTTTTGAACAAACTATGGAGTATAGATCTTAAAATTAAAAAAAAATATTCACGTCCCATATTTTTTTAATGGTATGCGACGACAACATGCTGCTCTGATATTCGCATATGCTCATCCGGTAAAATCGGCCATCTTCAAATCTGTTAGAACATCCTGTTTTTACAAGCCATATAAGTAATCCTACGGCTGTTGACGGTGTTACTTTATATCCTTAATTATTTTAAACAAAAAAAAACATTTA